AGGAGCCGCGAGATGACTGCATTCCCCGGCGAAGATGGGCGCGCGATCGACTGGGGCCCAATGGGGTGTGCTCCCGCCGATGGCCTCGGCACCCTAAGGCCGCTTGCTGACTCTTCGCGACCATTTCGACGAGGGGAGACCGAGCTCGGCATTCTCGACGGGGCGCGGGAACGCGCAGGGGCCGGCCAGAGGTCTGGGGGAAGCAAACCCCGAGCAACAGTCATGGGCGTTGGCCGGCGCGAAGCGTGGCCAGGCATGCGAGCGCGCGTTCACGCGGCATCGAAATCCGTCGAGAGGCTTGCGCGGACGTCTGCCGGCGAGGTCGCGCACGCGACCGCCTCGCGCGCGAAATTCCGACAGGCACGCTGGCACATTGGATCGTCAGAGCGCTGGGCTCAAGAGCTGGACCTCAGCGGTAACGCATGCAATCTTTCATCGCGAAAACTTGGGCCCGATACGGTACTTCTGAACCTTCGCAACCATGCGCGACGTAGCTCTTCTAACGATGCATGACGCGCGCGTGGCATGACATTCTGGTAACAATGTTAACAGGCGCGGTCCGACGCCACGTGGTACGTGCGAACAGGTAGCGGCGACGATGCGACGTGACTCCAAGCTATGGATCTGCACGACCATCGCGGATGTTAACAATGCGCAATGGGCTGGCATGGCAAGACGCTCCAAAACGCATACTTGCGGAGGCTCGCGCGATGACGATCAGCCCAGACAGTCGTTGATCTCATGGTTGGGGAACGCTTTGACCGAAGGAGCGGGCTCGCTCTGCGCGGCTAGGTGCATCTCGTACATATAAATGCTCGCAAACACAGCCACGCATTGAGATACGCCAGCACACACCCATTCAGACGCTTCTGGCAGACTCATGCGATCTAGTAGTCCAAGACTTGTTTACAGGGTGCGATTGGCGACTGGGAGCCGGATGAAACGAGAAGCCAAGCGACGACATCCCATTGGAAAACGCACGGCCACATTGACTGGAGACCAGCAGGGTCGGCCCTGCATGGAACTGAAAATATCGTCATCACAGACACTTGATCCCAACCATCCTGTGGCTCTCGGCCCTCATTTTGCAGACGCAGTGCTCCGCTTGCCGTCCCCCCGCCCCGTCCCCTCCCCTTCTCTCTGCGCTCTGCGCCACCATTTCGGCGCGCCACCAGTGCGTTTCGCGGCCCCATGAGGAGCTCCACTTTCGGCTCAAGCGGCAGCGCCCGCGCGGCGTCGCCGCGCCCGTTTCGGCGCGCCCCTGCTGCAGACGTCGCTGTTCCCAACGTTATAAGCATAATCTTTATCGACCCAAGCCGCGGAAGCGGAACCGACGGAAGTTCGTCGAACAGGAGGAGCTCCAATCAGCGGACAATGCAGCAGGAATCAAACCAACTGGCATTACATGCGCAGTTGGCTTGGCGACCGCGGCGGAGACCTAGGGGGCGTCGTCATCCAGAACGGTGCACCGGCAAAGTTGCGCAGCCACACGTGGCCCAGCTAAACTCCTGCTTTCGGACGAGGAGGGCGCCCTGAACAAAGATGCCTAGCAGAAGCCGTTCCAGGGCACGCGCGCCGATCCGCGCGCGCGGGCGCCGGGCCGGCGCGCCGCCGTGGTCGAAGCACGGCGCGGCGTGCCATGGCCTACCGCAGACATCATGGGTGAAGACCTGAAGCGACGCGCCGCCCCCCATCGCCCCTACAGCCCCCTAGCGAATGCATTCTTCGAGTGCGACGATTTCACTTTCAACCGCGGCGTCTGCGCGCCGGGCCCCCACCGGCAGGCAGCTCCAGATGCGCCCGGGCATTGACGCGCCAGACTTCGAGGCGAGGGGGGGCGGGGGGGCGCGGTCGCGGGACAGGGGAGAGAGAAACGAACGCGCGGGACTTGCATTGAGGCGATCTTCCTAGCAACGTCAGCAGCCAGGACCACCCGCGCCCTGAGCGCCAAAGGCGACGGCACACGGCGCGCGCCAGTCCACGGTTGAGGAAGGACTTGATAGATTATAATCGGTCCGTAACGGCAGAGGATGGCCACGACGGACGGAACGGACCAGATGTTCATTTTTTCAACGAACCCGGAGAGGATGACATCGCCCTCAGGGCCGGGAGTCGGGCAGTAGTTGTCCAATATTCCGGCTCCCGTGACACCTTCTTAATTGAGGCCGACTGGCCAAGGAATGGGCATGGATAACATCGCCTTCGTCTGGTTCGCCGCTGCGAAATTGCAGTCAAGATGCAGCGCCTCCCGTAAGGCGACGGGGCCCGGGTGCGACGCTGTCATTGGCGTTGTGCCCGCGACAGGAGATGGCGCATCAAAGGGGCCCGTGGGCCTCGGGGCCCCAGCGCAACATTCTGCGCAAGCAGTTTTTCGTTCAGGTCTCGGGCTCGGCCGCCCTGTCGAATTCGAGCCCGATGGTTTAGCGATCCAGTCGAGATCGCGTTTTTTGAAGGACGTCTTGGGCGGGGGCGCCATTTTGAAATCGAATCCGGAAGTCCCGAAGTCTTCCTAACAAGTTTTCCGCGGAAGCCGCGCTTCCGAAATCTCCAGTCAGAAATCTATAAATTTACATGCGAAGCGGCGCGGCCATGTCGACACGACGCGTTCGCCGAACAATTTACAGATTTTCGGGGTCGGCTTCGACATGGCGCCCCCGCCCAGACTGCCTCCATGCTAGATTTATAGACCTGTCTGGCGCCGCCGCCTGGGACTTCACCCGAAACAGACTTATGCGCCTTGCGGGCTCGCTTCCGAAATGGCGCTGCCGCCCCGGACTTCCTGAACGCAAGACTTCTCCATCTCTTGGCGCGATTTCGGAAGGGCGCCCTTGCCCAGGGCCTTCTCGAACTTCCTCGAACATCGAGGTCGGCGCATCTTCGGCTCGAGTTCGCAAGCCCCTAAGGCGCGTCTTGGTGGAGGCACGAGACAGGCCGCATATGTCGCAGCATCGGCGTAGGGCTCGGGCGCGGGGGGCACTCTCTACAGGCGGCTGCGCTCCAGACGCCTCGGGGTCGCGACTGCCGATGAAATGCTGCCGAAAATGCACGACGCACTGCAATTTCTCATCCCGACGCGCGGATCGAAAATGTCGTCGCAGCTCGGCCGGCACAGGGGGGGAATGCCCGCCCACCACTGAAACCCGCTAGTTGGTGCACGGACCGATCTGTATGTCGCGTCGATCTGCGCAGCGCGAAACATCGGGCAAATCTTGGGCAGGGGTCGTTCCATAATCATTCAGTGCTTCACGTCAAACAAGCCGCGCGAGGGACATGGGGGGGGCTGATGAAGTCCGGCGAACTTGCCGATGGAAGGTAAGGAAATATCAGCTGCGCCGGAGATGGGCTTGTTGTCCCTGAGGCACCAATGGTGCGATTGGAAGCCGGCGATGGGGGATTGCCAGCGGGGGGTGATCAACCACGGTTAAAGGAGAACAAAAGAAGAACGACATCTCGTTACCACGATGGCGGGGAGTTAGTTTGCGAAATACGGATAGGGGCAGGAGCCCAGGGCTGAAGAAATCGCTTGGCGTCACGGCGCGCCCGTGGCCATAGCGCCCGGTCGCAGCGCGCTGGCGCCCGCCGGAGACGGCGAGCCAGGAACCTTTTAGGATGACCTCGAGCAATCTTATGACGGCCCTCTGACCCATTGACCGCGACGAAGGCTGCGCCCTAGACAAAGACGGGCACGGCTAAGGCGTAGCGCTTTGCTCTCCACCAGGCATGGCCACGATCATCTGGAGCAAATTTCAACATGACGCACCGACCCCTAGAGCAGAGGTGTTCGAATTGCCACCCCCAGGGCACGCGAATCCTCAGCCGCCAAGAGCGCTGCGGCAGTATAAGACGATGTGTTCTGGCCATGGGCGCATCGAAGATAGTTCAAAGAAGGTCTCCGAATCTACTACCAGAGCGAACTACATATTATATATTGCTAGACAGCCACTGCTCCAATATTTTTGATGTTTTCAAGGTTAGCAGAACCACGATTCCACTGTACGTTTGCAAATTGTTGTTCTTTGGAGGAAGCACTGACGGATTGAATTTGGCAGTTTGTTTTCGGCTGGCCCTCGGGGCCTCCATGAACGCGACTGCCTTCGACGCGGAGACATTTATAGTCTTGGCGCTCCGATCTTCGCAACGTTTCTTGGTTGGCGAGCCGGCGTGCCATCCGAACTGGATGCTGGTTTCCATGGACATCGACGGCGCCTTCCTCGCAGGGCTGGCCTGCGTCGAACTGTCGAAGGCCACTGAAGACCAAGAGCGCGCGGCGTGTTTCAGCCTATTCCCTGGCAGCCCGCGGGTGCCTTCTCTCTACCGGGGCTATCGCACTGGGGACATTCATCGTTGCGTCCTTCCAGTGGTTCATACGGGGCACAGGCGCAAATCGCGCCCCGCTGGATGTCTCCTTGAATCTGCGGCACACGGCGCGAAACATCGGTTTCCACCCCGCGAGATTCGACCCAGCAGTTGAGACCGGAAGCGAGTAGTTGACGGCGAAGCGCGTGGGCGACATTGTCGTGACGGGCGCAGAGAAACACGCCGATAGTTGCGTGCAAGAAACACAGTTTTGGCAGTTTTTGGAGAGAGAGAGAGAGAGAGAGTGTGTGTGTGTGTGTGTGTGTTTGTGTGTGTGTGTGTGTGTGTGTGTGTGTGTGTGTGTGTGTGTGTGTGTCTGTGTGTCTGTGTGTGTCTGTGTGTGTATGTGCGCGCGGTTCCCAGTCGCGCGGAGCTCGCCAGAGACGGCAACGGAGGCGCCGCCACTGGTGTGGGGACGGGGGCCTTGCGCAACCCCACGGAACCCGCGCGTTTCGAGAGATTCTGTGTATACATTGTATACATGCTTTGGGCTTGGATGTGTTCATCGCCTTCCTCCCCTGCCAAAAGCCTCGTTGCCGTCGTCGTCGCCGTTGCCATCGTCGTCGCGGTTCGGGTCGTTGCGGTTTCCGTCCTGGTCTCCGTCCGCGTCGTCGGCGTTGCCGCCGTCGCCGACCTTCCCTCAGGTGGACTGGAACCCGCTGCAGCGGGCCTCTTCCTCGCCTGCGCCAGAGGCGCCGCGCAGCGGTCTCGCGAGCATGGGCAGTTCCTCGCAGCTAGCGATAGAGGCCCGTCGGGGGTGGCTCGCGACTCCTGCAGCTGCTGAGGCGTGGGCCAGACCTCAGCTGTTCTTGGAAATAACAGGCCCGTTTTTTGTTGGTTTTTGTTTTGCCGTTTCTGTTCCCAGCTCCGTCGCCGTCGGTTTTCCCGTTTTGGCTCCGGCTTTAATCCTGGACCCGTTTTTGCTCCGTTTCGGCGAGCTTTTTTCTGACCGTCTACATGAGGACGGGGCTAGGACGAGGACAAATTCGTTCGAGAGCGTTCTGGAACGCTCTCAGAGCGTTCCGGAACGCTGTGAGGAGGCCGCGGCGCCCGAGCAATCCTCCAGAACCGCCCGATCTCAGAGATTCTTGATTTATCCTCCCTTGAGTTTATCATCGCCCAGGCTTCGTCTTGGATCAAGGCGATCGACAACGTTGAAAACAGCTGGCCCTGCCGCTTCCAAGAGCCACAAAGAGCCGAGTGGGATCCTGAAGAAGGGGTCTCTCACCACCCACCAAACCACCCCAACCAAACCCAACCCGAAGGCTTCAATTTGCCCTCCATTTCCAGTGGGGGGGAGGGTCGGGGAACATCGAAAAAACACGTAGGGAGCCCATACCCACCCCCAACCCGAAATTCGGGTCTTCGGGTTGGGTTGGGGTGGTCTGGTAGGTAGTCAGTCTCGCTTTCGGCGCACCTCGACCTCGGCGGCATGCCCGCAGGAGGCCGGCGGGCGCCGGCAGGCGCAGAGGGTGGCTGCGGGCCCGCCAGCGGGAGCCGGCGGGAGGCCAGTGTCGGGCGCACTGGGACAGGGGCCAATGCAAACATGGGGTCAGCCAGAGCGCCGGAATTTTGCAGGATCCTGCAGAGTCAGGGTCGCATTGGCCCAGGCTTGGGCGCAGGATCCAGCAGGATCTTGCAGGATCCTGCAGGGCCTGGCTGACCTGAGTCTGAGTTGTCCTGGGGCAGTAGGTTCCCGACAGGCGGGAGGCGGCGTGAGCAGAGGTGAGACGTCAATCGGAGGGGCGAAATCCGAACGTCAAAAGAGGAAAAGGTACCCCCACCTCTACCCTTCCCTCGTTTCCCCTTTTTGGGGCCTCCATGAAGGCCTTCGTCGCCACCGCTGGATTTGCCTCGGAATCCGAGTTAGAACGCACCCTGGGAGACAGTCCGGGGAGTAGCGGTATCGGTACCTTTCTGTTTCCCCAGAACCCTGCCCTCGCCGATCAACGATTCAGGCAATTCGATGGGCGGCGGGGGTAGGGTTCGGAATTTGTCAGACGCGTCGGGACATCCGAATCTTACCCCCGCCTCCGATCGGTTCAGGAGGACCAATAGTTGGTGGGGGTAGGGCTCGGGCGCCGTCACCTAGAATGCACCACGTCGTCTGGTTGGCCAAGGAGCCAAGGTGTTCGGCGAATGAGTTTAGACGCTTCAGCGTTCTACCGAGTGGGCAGATTGCACGTCTGTGCACCAAGCTCCGTGGACGAACAGGCGACGTGGTGCATGTACACCGAGCCCCTCCCAGTCAGCATCTGCGGGTCCAGGGTTTCAGGAGCGAGCCAGATTGTCCCACAGGGCGTGCTCTCTTCGAGGCACCCAGCGTGCGGCTCCCCGGTCTGCTGCCGCTCCTCCTGCTCTCGCGGCTATGGGGCATGCGTGTTGTCGGGCGAGTGGTCCGATTGGTTGTGCCAGACCTGGGCGGAGCAGGGCCGTGGGCAAGACGGAGGGCCTTTCAAGCCATCCGCACGAAGTCTGCCAGCGGGGGGTCCAGCTCGATATGCCCAGATGTCCCCCCCCCCCTCGAGAGTCGCTGGCCGCTGCCAGAACATTTGGTGCGACAGGCTGGAGCGGCTGGCGCGCGGTGGCCTTGCCGGGGACCGCCGCGCGCGTACGCGCTTCTGCGTTCCCCGCGCACGGTAGTTCGCGTGGCGCGTTGCCTGCTCTCGACATCTCTCAGGAGGGGGAAAAATCCTACAGACACAAGTAATCGTCGATTGCTAGGAAAATATTTGAAAATATTGGAAGTGTGGGGGAAAACAAAACCCCAGAAAATATGGGAACAGATGGGGAATCATGTGATTTGTGTGTATTTACTTGTGTGTTCCAAGGCCCTTTTAATTCAAGCGAAACCTTCAAGCGAACCATTCGGGCTTCCAACTGGCCACGCAGAGTTCGCGCACCAGCTGCGCCACTGCTGGCGCGCGGTATGCGAAGTGCTCACGCGGCAGCGCGCGCGCAGCGGCGGGACCGAATGCTTGCACGTCCAAGATGACTGCGGCGCCGTTCGGTTTCTGAAAGTCAAAAGTGGCTCACTCACGCATCGCTTGGGTCTCCCACCTGACGCGCAGTGTTCGGACGCCCGCTGGATTGGGAAGGGTGCGAAACGCGCGCGGCAGTGGCGGGTTGGCATGCTTTCCTTTCAGGGTGAAGCAGTTGCCGCGCTGGCTTCGACCATCTACAGGAACCCTTCACGCGCGCTGCCTGGATTTCCAGCATACAAAGTTTTGCTCGTATGCCTGATTTTGCCTGATATATTACGCAATATGAAATGCGCGCACGCGTGCTCGTGCGCATGGTGGCTGCCTGGCACGTTCTCCAATCCAGGATGACGAAATCGCTGTGCTGGCCTTGGAAATCCTCAGGCGCCCTTAGCGGTCACTAGTTCTATTTTCACGCGTGAGGCGGAGGCGCGGCGGCGGCGGCGGAATGATGCGTTCTCTGGCGCAAGAGGAAAGTCGCCGCGCTGGCTTTGGAAACCCATAAGGGCCCCTTATCGCGCACCGCTTGGATTTTTCAGTCGACATCCAGTTTCCGCATGCCTGCTGCGTTGTGCAGTTGCCACATCGCGCGCTGCGGCCGGGCGGGGCTTTGTTCAGTCTAAGGTGAAGACGTCGCCGTGCAGGTTTTCAAACACCCGAGGAACCCTTGACGCGCACCACTTGGATTTCCAATTTGACGTGCAGTTTTCGGTCGCCCGTGAGGTTGTGTAGCATGCAAAGCGCACGCGCTGGCCGTGGGATGGCGTGCTCTCTGACCCACGATGAAGAAGTCGCAGTGCTGGCATTGAAAAACCAAATGAGCCCGTCACGCGCGCCACTTGGGCTTCCAGCCTGCTGCATTGGGTGTGTGCAGTATGCAGGCGGGGGGGGGCGCGCGCGCGCGGCGGCGGCCGGCCAGCACGCTCTCCAATCCACGAAGAGTCGCCGCGCCGATTCTGACAACCCAGATGCGCCCCTGACGCGCCCTGCTTGGATGCCCAGCCTCAATCGCTGTACTGCGCAGTTTAGAAAAGCGCGCTGTTGCGCGCGCGCGTGGCGGCAATGGCGGGCCCGCACTGTCTCGAATCCAAGCTGAAGAAGCCGCCGCGCCCTCGGACATTTACATGGCCCTCGTCGCGCCCGCTGGTCTCGGTGCAATTCCTGCTAGGCCCAAGGGCTCTATCGCCAATCGTTGGCGTGTACTGGGCAACGCTCGGCGGGCACTCACACTCTGAGCGCGTGTGAACGCACGGCAGTCTACGGGCCCCCCTTGGCGGACATGGTGGACGCTGCGCCATCGCGTCGCCTTTGGGGCGACTTAGCCGCCCGCACCGTTCCCGCGCCAATCGGTTTGATCGTGGGATTTCCCTGGGACAATAGATTTCTAATCTCCAGCACTGCTCCGAACGGTGCAGGAAAGAACCAGGGGGTCGGGGAAAAGGAGGAGTGGGAGGAGGAGGCGGAGGAGGAGGACGAGGAGGAGGAGGACGAGGAGGAGGACAGGTGGGGCGAATGGGAGAACAGGGAAAAGAGAGCACGAGGCGAAGGAGTGGACATGAGACAGCAAGAGAGGGGAGGACGGGGCATGAGGCAGGGGGGAGGTTGACCAGTAGCACGACGGGAAGGAGGAGGAGGAGAAGGAAAGGGATGTGGAAGGAGGAGGAGGAGCAGGAGGAGGAAGAGGAGAAGCAGCAGGAGGAGGAGCAGGAGGAGGAGAAGGAGGAGGAGGAAGCAGCATAATGAGGATGAGGAGGAGAAAGAGGAGGAGGAGGGAAGAGGAAGGTGAGGAGTGACGCTTCGACAGGGTTGTCAGCTTTGCGCGTCCACCGTCTTTGCCGCTATCCAATGCCGCCTACCCGGAAATGGAGTAGACTGCGGTGCTGGGTCAGCCGCGACAGGGCGGTGCAGCGGTCGAGGGCTGGAGGGACAGTTCATTCCGGGCGCATCCATTTCCAGAAATCTTTGCCGCCAAGTTGCGGAAGATCAGCGGACGCGCCGCCCCCGCAGCTCGGGCCGCGACCAAGAAGGCTAGTCTGTTGGGCGTGTTTTGGTTTTCGGGATGGGGAGGCGGACATTTCTGGGAAGCCATTCAAACGCTGACGGCGAGTGCAAGCGGGTCGTGTTCGATATCCCCCCCGTGAAAGGCCAACGTCAACATTCCCGCGGGCCGCGTCCCAAAAAAACAGCATTTACATGTTTGATGTGCTGGCGAGATGGTCTTTTTTGAAGTTCCTGGTGAGTTTTGAATGCTCATTGTGTTTGCATTGCTGGTGAGTTTCTGACGCCTGTGAAGCATAACGACCGTGCGCCCATGCCAAGGTCCCCCCCCCTGACGTTGCCCATCGAGGATGCTGCTGGCTCCTGAGGCGCGGGGACCGGCCGTACGAAGGGCCCCAGGGACCCGAAGACGGCGACGAATTGCCAGGACCGAACGGGCGTCTCCTCTCCCCTCGTGAGCGGCGAGCATACCTCAGGAGGAGAAAAAAATCACACAGACACAATTCATCGTCGATCCCCCAGAAAAGATGCGAAGATCTGGGAAGCGGGGGGAAGACGGAAGTCCCCAAAAATCTGAATATGTATGGGAAATCTTGGGATTTGTGTGTATTTACCTGTGCGTCCTTGGGCCTCTTCAACATTCACATCCACGCTGAGCCCCCCTGCATGGCGCGCCCTGCCTGGGCGAGCAAAGGGCTCTCCACGCCCTGCGGCGGGATTTTTTCCTTTCGACATGCCACCCGATGCATTGCTCCTGGCCAGACCTGCATTTCGTGGTTACTCTGAGCACCTCCATAGTTCTGGGCCCCCGGACTACAAGGGCCCCCTGGACTACAAGGGCCCCCCCCCCGGACTACAAGGCCTCCCCCCCCCCCCCGGACTACAGGGTCCTCCCCCGGACTTCCGGGCTCCACGCCCTGCGGCGGCAATTTTTTACGACATGCCACCCGACGCACTGCTCCTGGCCAGACCTGCATTGCATGGTTATGTCGGGCCGAACGAAAGGGGGGGAATAGGGAAAGGGGGGGCAACGAAATCTGCTGGATGCAGCTGGTTTCGGCCCCGCCGCCGGGCCCATTCCCCGATACATGGGCGCCTCCTGGCGCCAGGAGGCGCTGGGAAGATCAGCTGCGTGAGCTGATTCCCGACCCTACCCTTGGCTACCCCTTCCCCTTTGTTCCCCCCGATGTTGTTTTCCCTGAGGTCGATGGAGGATGAACAAAAAAACCCTCGCGGTCTGGATTCCGGGGCGGGACCCCGTGGGTACGCAGTCGCTCGGATGCATCCCACGCGGGGCGCCCCATCCATGGGGTCGCGACCCGGGGTCCCAGCCTGCGAGGCCGGGGGGATGTGGATCTGTTTCCTGTCGACGTGCTATGGTCGATGCGCGGGCGCAGAGCTTCGGACCCCTTCCTTGGGGTGAGTTGTTCGCCCCAGATCCGTTTTGATGGCCCTGGGGTCCTGACGCAAACCCTTGAGACGAGACCGAAACCAGGAACAGACGGGATTTGAAAAATCATGTCGTCGCAGGTCATCGAAAACGTTCAGGACCCCTCTCCCCCAGGGTCTGTCTCCCTCACACCAACAGCCGCCCCCTCCCCCACACCCGAGATCCGACGTTGCGTAAAAAAGGTCTAGCAAACATCACGACCGGAGCCCCACACCCCATCTTTCCGCTGCATTTTTCGAGGCGCATCGATCGGTGATTGTCTGGGGCCCACAGCCAGGGCTCATTTCGGCTCCTTCGATTGGATTTGATTCGATTTCAATCGATTCTGGTTCGATTCGACTTCGGATTCCCATTTGGATTACGGTTTTTCAGTGGAGGCCTTGTTGGCTTGCCGATTTCCGCCGAGCCGATTTCTTCCGACTTGGCTGACGGATTCCGACGATCCGATTCATTTCGATCCCTGATCCGATGTACCGATTTGATTGTGGTCTGTCCTGCAGATCCCGCGACAACGTCCGGCGTGACGGAGTGGCAGCGCCTGGATCTCAAGGTTCGTATCCGCTCTTTGCGTACCCGTCTCGATCCTCGATGTGCGCGCGCGCCCCCCTGTCGCCGTCGCCGTCGCCGTCGCCGTCGCCGTCGTCGTCGTCGTCGTCGTCCTCCTCCTCCTCATCTTCGTCGTCGTCATCGCCGCCGCCGTCTTCGTCCTCGCCCTCGTGCTCGTCCTCGTCCTCCTGCTCGCCCTCGTCCTCCGCTGTGCCCGCTCCGATCCTCCGGGGCCCCCGCCCCCTGCCCCCGCCCCGGCAGCCTGCGGCCGCGGACCGCCGCGCGCTGCGCGAGCTCTGCGAGCAGCTCGAGGCCCCCCCCTCCGCCTGTGCGCGCCGCCCTCCCCCCCGCGCGTGCCCGAGGGGGCGCGGGCGCCATCTCCTCCTCCTCCTCCTCCTCCTCCTCCTCCTCCTCCTCCTCCTCCTCCTCCCTCCTCCTCCTCCTCCTCCTCCTCCTCCTCCTCCTCCTCCTCCCTCCTCCCCTCCTCCTCCTCCTCCTCCTCCCTCCTCCTCCTCCTCCTCCTCCCTCCTACCTCCTCCTCCTCCTCCTCCTCCTCCTCCTCCTCCTCCTCCTCCTCCTCCTCCTCCTCCTCCTCCTCCTGCTGGCGATGCGTGCTCGTGGGGCTCATGCGCCAGAGGGTTCCGAGGGGCCGGGGCTTTTGGGGAGGGGGTTTTCCAGGAGGGGTCCCCCATGGGGGCTTCTCGCACCCTCTGTCTCCGGGGGGGGCTTTCTGGAAAACCCCCTCCCCCCAAAGACCCCCGCTGGAACTCTCCGGGTGCGAGCGAAGGGGGCTAGTGGAACGCGAGCCTTCAGCATCCGCAGTTCACCCGTTTCAGTGCCTCGCGCACCACGGGCGCCTTCGCGCCCCTGCGGCTGACCGTACACCGCTCGAGATCATGCTCCGCCCACGCGCGGTTTCGCACCTCGCGGGCGGTCCGCCAGACTCCTGGGGCCCTCAGGCCTCAAACGCAAGGTGCAGTTCAGTATCGGCGGCGACGATAGGGGCGACTAGCCTAGGGGCGGGCATCACACGCATTCGCCAGGGAGTCTCGCAGGAGACATGAGCAGTCGGCGCCACTGGATACATGTATTGGTCTCCCCCGTGCTATTCGCCCCTATCGTCGCCCCCGACAGTGGCGCTATCGTCTTTGGCGGGCCCAAGCTGAACACTATGCTGGCGTCCTCACAATAAGAGGGCTCCTTTCGACCCCTCCGACTCAATTCCATTCGGTGTCGATCGACTCCGATTCCGGGTCGGCTTCGGATTCCGACGAGGATATTGGTTTCTCAATGCAGGCCTTATCTGTTTGCCGGTTTCCGTCGATTCGTTTTCTTCCGATTTGGTTGCCGATTTCCGCCAGTCCAGTTCAGTTCGATCGCCGATCCGACTTGTTGATTCCATTCTGGGCTCTCCTGCAATGGTTGGTGACCGGATGCAATGGTTTGCGGTTTAGACCTTCTCGCTCGGCAACCGTGTGCTCTTTCAAACGCAGCCGTTTCCGCGTTTCCCAGCAATATTTGAGATACAACAGTTAAGGCGCCCGAAGTATTGCACATCCCCCAGCCCCTCTATTTGGGTTGCCCCTTATCTGATGAGAGCGGCGTCGGGTTTCCCTTTTCCTTTTTAGAAGGCCCCCAGGCGGGCCTTCCAGATAGGGTCCGGGTATGCGGTTCGCCGATGCATCGGCAATGCGGGTCGATGTGGATCCCGATATTCTCCACGTCGACGTCGCCGATGCACCGCCGACGTCGCCGACGCAACGTCGATGCGTCGCCGATGCAATTTACTAGGGTCCCATCTGGGAGGCCTCCTAGCAGCCCAGACCCCCGACGTCGTATTTTTTTCACAACGTCGACCCCCAGAGGTCTGGACCCCTTCCCAGAAACTGTTAATCATCTTGAGTCGCTTTTTACACATATCCAGAGGATGGAGTTCTTGTTATTACTCCGACCGCGCCGACTCCTCACACCTCCCTCCCTCCTCCTCCTCCTCCTCCTCCTCCTCCTCCTCCTCCTCCTCCTCCTCCTCACTACTCAGAGTCACACTCAGGATCACCGCTCAGGTTCTGATGCGATGATGCTCGTTGTGATGTGGAAACTTCTCGTCTGCTCCCGTCCAAGAAGTTGTGTCTTGGAGTGCTCCCGGGTCGCCTGGCCGGCGCCAGGAGGCCCAAGGTGCCGGCGCGTCGAGACATCGGCGACATGCCGAGGTGGTTCGGCCTGTTTCGCAGGAAACATCGTCCCCAGGCTGCGTTCCGAGACGGCCAGCCTTGGCACAGTCCGGCCCGTTTCACAGGAGACGTTCTCGCAATTCTGGGCTCCCAGACGCTACGCGAGAGGTGGTCCGGCCCATGTAGCTTGAAGCATTCTCAAAATAGTTGGCCTCGGGGATACCGTGACCTGATGTTGCCTCGTCCGTTTTGCTTGAGGCATCGTCGCTACGCTAGGCTTGAAGATGCCGCGCGCGAAGTGATCTGGTCAGCTTGGCCTGAGAGGTCTCCGTAATTCTTGGCAAAAAGATGCCGCGCGGGGGTGGGTCCAGCCAGCTTCACATGAGACGTCCCTGCAATTTCGAGCAATCGCTGAGGAGTGCGAAGCGAAGAAGGAGCGGGAGGAGGAGAAGTAGCAGGATGACTGCTCGCATTGCTGTCAGATAAGCACTCTTGTTTTCAATGCTCTCGGGACACTTACTCGTCGCCAGGGCTGGACGCCAGGGCCCGTCTCGGGACACATTGCCTCAGACAAGTACTCGTCGCCAGGGCTGGACGCGTCTCGATCGTGCCAGGTGATGCGGGCTGGTGCTCTGCCTACGAGGGGTGTGTCACGGGCCCGTTCTCGCCCAGATCGTTGGGATGTTCTCGCCCAGATCGCCCGGCGTGGAGGTGTGTTCTGGAGCAGTATGGTCCTCGCTGGCCGCTTCGGTTGGCTTTTGGGGCTGTTTTGGGCTCCATCCAGGGCTTGCCTTGGCTGGCGGAGGGGGAGGGCAGTGCACCTGTGCCCGCGTGCCCGGGCCGCCCTGGACAGCTCTGGGCGACCCCGCCAACCCCAACGGCGGTGCCGGGGAGGTGCCGGAGATGGGTTGCCCTCAAAAGAGCTGGTTGCGCCCCATGGTTCGTAGAGAGCTTTGGCTTGATGTGCTCTGTCTCGTTTCGCTCGAGGTGTCTCCACAGCTCTGGATTTCAAGATCTGCTTCGTCAGGTAATCAGGCCCGTCTTGCCTGATAAATCCTCGGAAGCCCAGGCTTCGAGATGCCTTGAATTGAGGTGCTCTGGCCCGTTTCGCTTGCGACGTTATCACAACTCTGGGTTCCAAGATGTGGTTCGCGAGGCATTTTGGCACGTTCCGCTTGAGACATCCTCGGAATCCCTGGCTCTGACCGTTTGGCCTGAGACGTCCTGGCAACTGTTGGCTGAAGATGCGGTTCACGAGGTACTCAGGCCCGTTTCGCTTGAGACATACTCGCAAACTTTGGCTCCAAGGTGCCTTGACTTGAGGTAGGCGTAAGACATCCTCGCAATTCACACCTCTGGGTTCCAAGATGCGGCTCGCGAGGTGCTCTGGCCCGTTTCACCTGAGACATTCCTGGGTTCCAAGATGTGGGTCGCGAGGTATTCAGGCTCGTTTCGCTTGAGGCATCCCGCGAAACCTGGGCGAGATGCCCTGAAATTGAGGTACTTCGGCCCGTTTCGCTTGAGACGTTTTCAGAATTCTGGGTTCCAAGACGTGGTCCGCGATGTGCTCAGGCACGTTTCGCCTGAAACATCCTCGGACTCCTTGGCTCCGAGATGCCCTGACTCGAGGTGACCTTGGTGTAAGTGCGCCACGCTTGAAGGAGACATTGATAGAGCTGTTGCTGGGGTTGACCCTGGTGCCGGGGGAAGTTGGGGACCAAGAAAAAGTGACAGAACAAAGGAGAAGTCGCCATACGAGGATGACGATGATGATGATGATGATGATGATGATGATGATGATGATGATGATGATGATGATGATGATGATGATGATGATGATGGTGATGATGATGATGATGATGATGGTGATGATGGTGGTGATGATGATGATGGTGGTGATGTCGATGTCGATGGTGATGGTGATTCTGATGATGATGAGGAGGATGAGGATGATGATGATCAATGATGATGTTGATGCTGCTGCTGATGAAGATGATGCTCGCGATGATGGAAACGATGACGATCATAATGATGATGACGATGACGAAGACGATGGCGATGCTGATCATGATGATGCTGCTGACAATGACGATGATGGTGACGAAGATGACGATGATGCAGATGGTGTTGATACGTGTGATTATGATGCTTATGATGCTCGTAATGAACAGTATGGTGATGTTGCTGATGATGATGGTGATGCTGATGACGATGGTGACCACACTTGTGATGACGATGATGATGACACTTACGTATATGATAATGATGATGGTGGTGGCGGTGATGATGATGCTGGTAGTGATGATGATCATAATAATGACGATGTCGATGACGATGATGTTGATGATGATGGTGATGGCAATGCTGATGATGATTATGCTACTGAACGATGATGCTGATGATGATGATGATGACGATGATGATGATGATGATGATGACGAGGAGGAGGAGGAGGAGGAGGAGGACGATGAGGAGGAGGAGGAGGAGGAGGAGGAGGATGACGGAGTAAATTTGAGGATGTCTCGGGCGAGGCGCCGGTTTCAGCACACCCAAGGGGGGCGCCAGGGAGCTATCTCATTCATCCGTTCGCGCCCAGAGTGCAAGGATGTCTCGAGCGGCTTGCCTGTCTCACCACCCGACATCCTCCTCATTCGGAGCAGATGTTGAGGATGTCTCGAGCGAGGCGCCGGTTGTTGCACCCCCAAGGGGAGCCGCCAGGGGGTATCTCATTCCTCCCTTCGCGCCCAGATTGTGGGGATGTCTCAAGTGGTCTGCCCGTTTACCCACCCGACATCATTTTTTAGAAGTAGATTTTGAGGATGCCTCGACGGGAGATTTTTCACACTATTCTCGGCCTCCGTGGGGCCCGTACCCGGCCTCGGGATTGTCAAACAATTATGCAGGGTGAAAAAAGGTCCCGGTGAATGAGTCGAGACCTCCGGGGGTCGACGTTCTGACGTTATGAACAAAAATCATGACGTCGGGGGGTCGGGAAGGGGGGAGGGAATGGGGGGACAGCTTGTCAAAAGGAAGCTGCTTCTCAGAAGGCGCGGGCCTTGTCTGCAGATGTAGGGCTGGCGCCTTGTGAGAAGCAGCATCCTTTTTCAGAAGCCTTCCTCCTCCACCTTCCCTCCCTGCGCACGCCGCCGTACTGTTCTGCCGAATGTATGGACGAATCGTTCGCCGCCGACTGTTGCAGCCTGCTCTGCCCCTTGACGCCCCGGCTGGCCACTCTGTTTTTGACTTTGTCAGCTCTGCCGTCCTTGATCTTGGCGTCTACTGCGGCAGGCGGTTTTATCTCTCCATCGTGCCGAGACCACGTCGCCTAAGTGTCGGACTCTCTTTTGTTTTCTTTGTGTGCGGGCTACAGCCATGCTGAACCGAAGCTGGGGAAGGAGGAAGATGATAGGAGGATGAGGAGGAGGGAGGAGGATGAGGAACAAAAAAGAGAGGAGGATGATCGGAGGATGTCAGTCAGCGTAAAAAAAAAGAGGAGAATGAGGAAAGGGAGGACAATTCACCGTTTTCCAGAACTCCCGCGTCCTGGGGTCCTTGCCAGGCCCGCGCCCGTTCCTGCCTCTCTCGCTGTTCCCTGCGCCTTCGGGCTCGGTGGTGTCGCCGCACCCGCCTCGTCTTCTCGTCGTCTACCTGCGCCCGCAGTTCTACCGCTCGGCTCGACCTCTCGTCACTCGTGTCGTCCTCGCCGTCGCGCTCGCTGGCCCCACCATCGCTTCTGTTTTGCTCTACTCGATCGCTGCTCTACCTTTTGCAGCCAACCCACCCCAGCATCGGGAGGCATCGCTCGAGCGCCTCTTCGAGCATCTCGCTCTGGGCCCTCGGCGACGGGGACGTCGATGTTGCCGTAGTTATCGACGACGTCGCCGTCGCCGTTGTCGCTGTCATCGTGGCCCTGCGTGGGCCACTGAGTCAGGGGTCAAACATCGACCCTGGACCTCTCGTGGGGCGCGTTCTGACCAGAATCCCGAGGCGGATCCAGCCGTGGCCGCGAGGGCGCCACGGGAAGCTTACATAGGGAAGCTCAAAAGCATCTGCAAGGCGAACCTCGATCCTTAATCACCGAATCTCGAACGTCTTTCTTGTCGTCCTCCTTCTTGGGGCCTGTTGGGCGATTTCTTGCCGTCATCTGGTGGCTCTCGGCTCCAGGGGGGTTCCGAGGGCCAGTTCGGATTCCCCCTTCCAGGGCTCCTCTGGGGGCCCTCTCGAGGCCGCCTCTCGGGCGGCAGCGTCTCGCCACTGCATGTGGTAGCCAAGAGGGGGGGGCAAGAGGACTGCCTCGGCGTCGCTCGGACGCGTGCACCTTTCGCGGCGAGGTCCATCGAGGAGCATCCTGGATCATCTTGCGAAGAAAAACACGGACGAAGCCGAAACGTGCACGGGGAGTGGACGGCCGAGCGATGGCGAGAAGGGCGATTGCCGATTCCATGGTGTGCCGAAGAGGTCCGTGTAGCTGCTCGGGGCCTCGAGGCCGAGCAGAGAGGCAGCTGCGCCCGCGCACCTCCACGCGCGCCCGCGGCCGCCCGCGCGCGGGGGGGGGATGTCATGCCGGGGGCCACGATATCTCCCGCGATTCCATGGCCCCTCTTCTTGCTTCAGTGCGCTCCTGGTCCCCGCCCCCTCGGCCGCGCACATGCCTCCTGCCGTGATTTGCGACCCCCCTTCTTTTACCCCCTCCCATCCCCCCCCGTGGACGCCCCCTGGCCATGAGGGGCAGGGCCCTGATGCCCTCGTCAAAAACAAATCACGGCGGAAGGTTTCTTGGTTGTGTCTGGCGTCTGAGAGCCGTCTCCGGGCCCCAGGACCGTCAATTTGGCCGTCGCCGGGCCCCAGGACCGTCAACGTGGCGCCGTCGCCAGGCTCCAGGACCGTGAAGAAACGACCCGCGACGAAAAACCTGTATTTCTGGGGGCCCCGTATTGAAAAGTCCGGACCTGGGGTGGAGTCCTGAGGTTTTTCCCCGCGTTCGACTTCCCAAGCCGTCGCTTGCAAGAAGCGGCTCTGGATGAAAAGCATCTCTGCTTGCTAAAAACCCCAACCCTAATCGCATAGGAAAGACGTGGCCTCACTAAGGTCCCCGTGCTTGCGTTACAAGGGGATAGCAGATCAGGGCGGCTTGGTGTTCTCCATCTGCAGCAAAGACCGCCAGTCCCAAATGTTTGTGGCCATCCTAGCTTAGGTCCCCTCTCAAAGGACTTGGGGTCCTTCCATTGCTCATCACGAGACCTGCCTCCCTCAGGGGCCCATCTCCCTCCTGGCGACGAGGGTATCCTCACCAAGCGGTACCGTGGGGACGTTTGTTGAGGAATGCGCCCGGGAGGCCTCAGACCTTGGAGGATTCCTCATCTGATGAGGGCGGCAGGAGGTACCCGTGGCCAATCCACGACAGGAGCTCCACCGGCTTGCAGACCCTGGATTCCTGACCCAATCTTTCCTTATGCACTGCCCCCATCGTATTGCTCTGTGGAGGTGATTGGATGGACTTGCGCAGCCCTCCAGCATCGGGCGGCAAGCATCGAGTTCGGAATCCGATCCTTCGGAGTTCGATGTTTGGTGCCTGCCGCAGTCGGCTCTGCGCGGCCTTGGCCAGCTGCGCCAAGGGGGTCCACGGTGACATGGACACCGTGGTGCGGAAGCTGGGTTTCGAGATCAACGAGATCACAAGCTCTGGGACCGGGGAGATTGTCAGTGACAAGGATGGTGCCCTCTGTTCCTAGCGCGCCACCTCGGGAGGGAAAATTATATAGACGATACGTTGCCCTTGGGTGTCCGTCAGCGTGATACTCCTTCGTGTTTGTCCGAACGCGTAGTGCTCCTTCAGCAGCAACACGCTACTGGGATCCCCACGGCGGCGTGTCGTTGATGCTGCTCTTGCTCCCCCCCAGTGGTGCCTTCTGTTTCTGGCGTGTCATCCCGCGTCTTCCTCCAGAGTCAGCCCTACGTTGTGCATACGCAGACCCACGGCAGGTATGCGCAGACGCGCGTGCAAGAGTGGTGCAGTTCCAGGGCTTGTCGCGCGTTTTCCATCATTGCGCGTTCTCCGGTGCGTTGTGGGCAGATTCGCTTCAACACCGAGCCGCGCTGGGGGCAGGATAGCACGATCGATCCCACGAATTGCCATGTCCGCAGTTTCCCGGCGCTAGCGTCGACGCCCACAGTGCAGCGCTCTCGGTTGACTTGTCTGTCCGACGCATGTAGCACATGAGTGGCAGGGGAAACGGGAGACTGCGCGCTTCATTGCTACAGTCCAGGACAAGCCCGTGGACCTCAAGGTGTGGGTGACCGCGTTCGGCCGCATAACCGACATCCCGGTCGAGGAGGCGGCGAGGGAAGACAGGGGGGAAGGGGCACGTCATGCGCACCAGGGATGGCGCTGTCGGGTCTCGCTCGGAGAGTGGATTCGAATCGGTTGACACCGACGCGTGGGTGAAACATCCGGCCCCAGCTTGTCAGTGACTTTGCATCGCCGGGACGTGTGCGTTTTCTCGCGGCAAGGACCATCGAGGAGCATGTTGGGTCATCCTGCGCAAAAGTGCACGCGCGAAGCCGAGGAGTCCATGGGGAACGGACGTCCCAGCGATGGCGGGGCAGGGAGCAGGGACAGGCGCTGGCGGGCGCAGGCGGCCGCGCACGGAAGCGGACAGACCCGCGGCTCGCAACGGCCTGATCGGCCAGGAGGTGCCGAGAGGTCTTCGACCCCCCTAGGTTGGAGCCGGCTGGGGTTCCGAGGTGGCTCAGCCCTGGTTCTGGCCAGCAGGAGGGGAGGTACACATGGTTCGTGTGTAAGTCTTCGGAAGGTCTTTGATTTTTGGGGGGCCAAGATCCTGTCATTTCTAATTGTGCTAGCCTGGGCCTCTTCCTGGCCACTGGGGGGCCAGGAGCAATTAGATACGAGCACAGGTAAAAACCAGCACGATTAGCCATGAACGACGTGTAGGTTCACGGCTACGGATTCGGGAAGGTTTTTGTTTGCCTTGTTTGGCCTCTGGGTGGCCGTCTTGCCTTGGGCCTCAGGACCATACAACACGGATTCGGGGTGAAACAAAATTGCACCAGTTGGAGATCCAGGGAGGGGTCCCGGGGGCCGACTTTGAGCGGTTTGGGCTTCATCCCAGCCGCTGTCCCGGGGTCCCAACCAGTGCAGCCCCCGCGGCCGCCTCCAACATCATCGGGCCCCACATGCACGACCCGCTCTTCCTTGTCCCCCGTTCGCGCCCCGTCCCCGGACAGTTGCCCAGGCCCAGCCTGGCGCGCACGAGCCTTTCTCGAGGTCTTCGGCAGCAGGGGTCCGCAGCCAGCTGCTTCGAGCCGCCTGCTGGTTCCAGCGGCCTCGGGTCGGGACCCCTCTGTGCTCCAGGCCTCTGGCGTCAGGAGGCTCTGCGCTCCTACGCGATGATCCGCCTGGCGGTCGCGGCGTGTCACCTTTCGGCTTGCTAAGCGCGGTTCGCGCGGTTGCTCATTTCCCGACGATTCATTCGAGTGCGAATCCACCACCATGGTCGGCGAGCGCCGCCTGGAAACCACCACCGACGAGGACCCCGAGAGACCAGTCCACAGCGAATCTGAACAGATATCACTCGGCTGCATCTGGGGATCTTACATCAGAAAGCATTAAAACAAAGCGTTGACGATTGCAAGGCGTTATGCGATGTTGACGTCGATTGTCTGGCATTCGAACAAGTCGTTGACCATGGCTGACAACAATATGTGTATCAGCCAGGGGATCGCTGATTGAACGAGGAGACCAAAAATAATACATCTTGTGGGTCAGAAAACATTTTGGAGTTGTATATCCAAGTGCGGGCACCGACAACGGCACCGCCGTCGACACCAGCACCGTCGCCAAATTGCGTCGGCGTCGACGTGGTTTGGGTGACAGCACTGAGTATGAGTACACATGTGGTCAGTATTCCGACTGCGGGTGGTGCACGAGTTCAGGTGGGCGCGGGACCCCTCGTGGGGTACATTCCACGATTTTTCAAACAACGGGCACGACGCAACGACAGCGTGCTGCGCTTGTGCCGCAGCTCCCGTCGACGTCAGCGTGATTTGATACGACTTTTCGGGTTCCAGTTTTCTGGTTCTGGCTTTTCAAGTTTTTGGGTTTCGCGTTTCGGGCCGGTGCTCGGGCTCCGTTTTTCGGTTCAGGTTTCCAATCTTTGTCGGGTTCCGCGTTTCTGGCCGGCTTTCGGGTTTCGTTTTTTGGGTTTCATATTTCCATTGTTTGGGGTTTCGAGTTTCGGGCCGGCTTTCGGGTTTCGGTTCTTTGGCTTCGGGCTTCTGGTTTTGGGGTTTCGCGTCGGCTTTGAGGTTGATTTCTGGTTTCGGGTTTCGGTTTTTCAGATTTCGCGTTTCGATTTTCGGGTTCCGTGCTTAATCGAGCGCCTAGTAGAACACCGAATCGAACGCCTAATACAGCGCCTATTACAGCGCTCAACGAGCGCCCAGACGGCGATGGCAAGGACGATGACGAGGCTGAGGAGGAGGAGGAGGAGGAAGAGGACCAGAGCCCTCAAATTCGCTTCTTGGAGCCCTCTCAGGGCTCTTGAAGGGTTCGGGGGTCCTCTTGGAGATCGTTTGTGGGGTGCTGGGGCCCTCTTGGGGCTCTCTTGGTGGTCTCCCGGGGGCCTCTTGAGTGCCCTGGAGGGCCTCTCGTGGCTATCGTGGAGGGCGTCGGTGAAACCAGGAGGCCCTAACGTCTGGTACCCCCCCTGGGACCCTCGAACTCGCCCCCTGACTACGGCCCTCTTGGGGCGCTCTTGGGCACTCTTGGGGCCGTTTTTGGGGCATCTTGGGCCCATATTGGGACTCTCTGGGACCAAATGTGGCCCATTTTCAAGCATCAAACCTGCAACGGAAGCGAAACGGCGTGAAGGCACGCGTTATTGATTTCCCTTGGATCTTTGATTGTTGTTGGCCTCTTGGGGGCGGCGCTCTCGAGGCGTACCGAGGGCATTTGGAGCTGTCTTGGCGGCCCTCGTCTGGCCTCTTGAAGTCATGTCGGAGGCTATTTTGAAATGCCTTCGGCTATCTTGAGCTGCCTTGGAGGCCATGTTGGAGCATAGGATGCCGTCTTGGAGACATATTGGGGGAACAAGGACTCCGTGACAACACATCGCGACCCCCCCCCCAAAAAAAAACACATCAGTGAGGGGAGGGGGAGGTACCCCCTTCGAAGAGAAGAAGGTTTCTGGAAGAGGAAAGAAAGAACTCGCTCGACTACTTTAACCTAAAGGGCTGGTGGGAATACGCGGCCGCGCAGGGGCGGTAGCGGCAAAATTCCCGATGGGCACGGCGAAGACGAAGCATGCGCCGCGTTGACCCAGCATTGCCAGTTTCTCTCACAAGTTGCGCGGCGCTTTGGTCAAGTCGGCATTTCTCCCGCTCTCGCGCGGCCGCGCTGCCGCCGTCGCTTCCATGCGATTCAGCGAACAAGGCACGCGCCGCATCCGCGCGGGAACGCCACTTCCGAGCGAAATGCGCACGGAACTTGGGCGACGGCGACAAGTCGCCCACTCGCGTAGCCCCCCCAATATAGGCGAGTGAAACATCTGCGCCGCGTCGAGGTGTGAACGCCACTTTCAGGCACATTCTGAGCGCGGCGCCATGGCGAGGGCGATCTTTTCGACCCCTCCCGCATCGACGGAGAGGCGTGCGAAAAATGCTCGCCGCGCCCAAGCGGGAGTTCTCTACTCTCAGGAAAAATGAGCGCGGCGACGAGGTGGCAGCAACATTTCGGCCTTTCGCGCGGTATGCGCGCCGCGTCCCAGTCCTGCCACGCATCTTGCAGCGTTGACGACCGAATGTCACTGTTGAGACGGAAAATACATTTAATCGTTTTATGTGTTTTGACAGGTAGGATGGGGCCCACCAGATCCGCATGCTATCTGCTGGTTACGCGGCAGAGTACGAATCTTTACATATAAAGAATTCAGCTAAGATGAGCAGGAAGGGGACGAGGATACGGATGACGATGAGGAGAATGATAGCGTAACGCGAGGGAAGGGAGCCATCGCCAGGGCGAAAATCTTATTTCATATCGAGACGCCCCTCGCTGACCTCAAAAGGCCAGCTCCTGTGGAGACAATCCTCGCTTCAAAAACCCAGTTCCTACTGAAACGCTTCGCGCTGGCCTCAAAAAGCTTGTTCCTATCGAGGCGCTTCGTGCTGGCAAACAAGGCCGGTACCCATCGAGACGAGGAGGAGGAAGGGGAAACGGATTGAGAAGGAATGCCTTCCCCCAGGTACATGGGGGAGGAGAGGACTCGCTACTTGTTGTTAGGAGGACGAGGGTCAGGAAGAGGAGGGATGACGAGGACGACAACCAACCAATACGGTGATATTGACGAAATCGCGGTGCTGATGATAGAGGTGGCACCACTTAGTGGCGACAATTGCTATTCATTTCCTCGCAGCACGTGCATAGCTCAGGCTCCTGTGCAGTAAACCCGTTCAGAAACCGTTCAGACAATGATCTGCTCGGACCCCGATATCAGATCCCTTTGGATCGAACTCATCTTCGTCATCGTAAATAAGCAGTGTTTCCCTTGTGTTGTAGTTGTAAGGTTTCAACGGCCTACCGTGCTATCGGTTTCTTGATCTTTTGTGGTGTCACAAATGGTTCAAAGGTTTTGCGGGTGGTTTTCGAAGCACTGCGCTCAAAAGCAACCGCAAGTTCAGGCAGTCCGCCTGGTTTGGGGAGATGCTTCAGGGGGCCTCTGACTGTCCCAGAGGCCGAGAGCTGCCAAAACACCTTCCGCCGTGACTGCTGCCACGGCGCGAGCCTCTCGGCGCTGGCCGACGATGATGAGCTTGTTGTCTTTTATTTACCACCACCACAAGTTGGAGGGGGAGGGGGTCCTCCACCTTCTCCTCCTCCTCCTCCTCCTCCTCCTCCACCTCCTCCTCCTCCTCATATTCGTCCTCCTCCTCCTCCTCCTCCTCCTCCTCGTCCTCCACCTCCGTCCCCCCTCCAACTCGTGGTGGCGGTGGTGGCGGAAAACAGGAGGCGTTTTTTTCTGGAACGCCCAAAAATGAGGTGTCGGCGGGGACTGCGGGAAGAGAAGCGGAAGAGGAGGAGGAGGAGGAGGAGGAGGAGGAGGAGGACGTGGAGGGGGAGGAAGAGGAGGAGGAGGAGGAGGAGGAGGAGGAGGAGGAGGAGGAGGAGGGTGGAGGAGGAGGAGGAGGAGGAGGAGGAGGAGGAGGAGGAGGAGGAGGAGGAGGAGGAGGAGGAGGATAAGGAGGAGGGTGAGGAGAAGGAGGAGGGTGAGGAGGAGAAGGAGGAGGCGGAGAGGAGGAGGAGGAGGAGGAGGAGGAGGAGCAGGGAGCAGGCGGAGGAAGAGGAGCAGAAGCTCCCCGGCCGCCAGGTGGAGTCAACCTTCCGGGTGCTGGACCCCGACGGCGCCGGGCTCGTGCCCGCCTCGCGCCTGCAGGAGGTCGGGGCGCTGGCGACTGCCAGCGACGCCGAGGAGGAGCCGGGCCGCCGAGGGCGCCTGGGGCGAGGAGGAGGAGGAGGAGGAGGAGGAGGAGGAGGAGGAGGAGCAGGAGCAGGGAGGAGGAGGAGGAGAAGGAGGAGGAGGAGGGAGGGAGGAGGAGGAGGAGGAGGAAGGAGGAGGATGAGGAGGAGGAGAGGAGGAGGAGGAGGAGGAGGAGGAGGAGGAGGAGGAGGAGGAGGAGGAGGAGGAGGAGGAGGAGGAGGAGGAGGAGGAGGAGGGATGTTGGAGGAGGGAGGAGGGAGGAGGAGGAGGAGGAGGAGGAGGAGGAGGAGGAGGAGGAGGAGGAGGGTCGTTCTCTGGAGCTCTCGGACCTTGCGCCTTGGCCCTTCGCCATGGCCCTGGCCTTCCTGGGGACTATTGCGAAGCACCTTTCTTGCTTGGCGGTCGCGCGCGGCCGCCCTACTGACGCTGTGGGCGAATCGGGGCCCCCATAGCTCGGTAAAGAAATTGGAGGATCTTACGTCTTAAGTGAACGGGGCAGCCTATCGGCGTCACGCTCTTTGTCGAATTCGTTCGTAATCGTGCGTCGGATTCATCCTTTCAGCAGAGGAGAAAGAGGAGGAGGAGAAGGAGGAGAAGAAGGAGGAGCATCAAGGGCAACGTCCCCAAACATGCTCGCATCGTGGCAAGATCACGGCGGGAGGTGTTTGGCAGTTTTCGATCTCCGAGGGCCTTCGTTGGGCCCGGGGGCCGTGAACAACGGCTCGACATGAGAAGCTTGCCCTGAGGGAAGGGTCCGGGCAGGAGCAGAAGGAGGTGGAGGAGGAGGCGGTGGAGTAGAAGGAGGAGGAGGAGGAGGAGGATGAGAGGCTGTTTCCGTATGTTTTCGCACGTCACTGCAGTTTCCAAAACGTTTTGGGGACCGGGGGTGGTTTCCATCAGCTGCGCCTTGTCGAGCGCGTTCCGGGGGTGCCTGAAACGTTCCGAAGGGCCGACGGAGCGGAAAGCCAGGGAGCGGAAGGGCAGGGGCGGCAACGACATGGGGGGGGATAGGCTTAGGGGGTGAACGCATCGTCCGCCGATCGCCCATTCACCGCCGATATGGGCCTGACAGCCCACCCCGCACAGGACCCTGCGGATCTGCTATCCAGGGCCTCTCGCCGACTTATCGGCGATGTATCGCCGATTCCAGGTCGAGGTGTGGCTGCCTGGGCTGGACCCCCCTTGTCGTTCCATCTCGCTCAGACCTCCTCGCGCCGTGGAAAAGAAGTCACGAAGCACGAGCTTGAATCACTCCCCCTGGTTCTCGCTCATCCTGGACGATCAAGAAATCACCCGCGCCAGCCCTCAGCATAGTGGCCACAATGGCCTGAGCCACACGGCCTGTCGGCAAATCGCATGGGCGACCAGTTACCAGCACGGCGAACCTCGACCGTGCCATCTCGCTCAGACCTCCTCGCGCTATGGGGAAGAAACTCACGAAGGACGGACTCGGTCCCTTTGTCAGCCTCCAGGGGCCATCACCGGGCCGCGGGACTGTCACAGAAGACTCAGGATGTGGAAACATTGCAGAAAAAAACTCACGAAGGACGGATTCGGTCCTTTTTCAGCCTCCAGGGGCCATCACTGGGCCGCGGGACTGTCACAGACGACTCAGGATGGAAAGCTGGTCCCGAGAAAGTGATCTAAACCTCCTGAGGCCACCGTTGCTAAACAAATTGCGACGTGGAAGGCTTCGGGAGGACGAGGTTCAGTGCGCGCTGCTTATCTGTGCCCCGCGGACCTGTTTGTTTAATTCTCTTTGCCGTCCTTTTCGTCATGCGGCTGCCTGTTGCTCCCTTGCGCGTCGTGAGGGCCGCGCGTTTCCAGGCTCCCAGCGCTCGTTTTCTCCATCTCCCAGGGCCCTCGACGGGCCCCGGGACTGCCCCCAAAAAATTCAGGTTGAAGAGCTGGTCCCGGGGGGGGAGGAAGAGGTCTGGGACCCGTTTCCCACAGGACCCGTTTGCTTCATGTCAGGCCACCCAGGCGCCCCCCGCCCCAAGCAGCGAGAAAGTGGCGACGCCGCTCCCGACGTTCGACAACGAGACGCTCCCCGAATTACTGCTGTTCCCTGCTCCGTGCGCAGGCCAGCAGTGGGGCCGATGGCCGTTGGTATTGCGTGGCTCTCTGATTCTGCGGCGTCCAAGAGAGAGGTGATGACTAGGGGGGCGGGGATATCATGGGCGGGGCCACGATGTCTTCTCGGATACGTCATGGCCCCCCTTCCTCTTTCAGGACGTTCCCTGGTCCCCCCCCCTCCGGCCGCGCACATGCCTCCAGTCATGATCTGCGATCCCCCCCTCTTGGACGCCCCCGACTGGTGAGGGGTGGTGGCCTCCTGGCGGTGGGGCCGCCGCGAGCGGCTCGCCGTCGTGGCTCGAGTTCCCCTCGCTGCCGGGCAGTGCCAAGCACTCGACGGCCCAGCTGCGCTGAGCCAGGCCACCAGGCGCAGGGGCCACTCCCCCACCAGGGTCCACTTCGATTTCGATCCGATGCGATATCGGCTTCGGTCAGTTCGAGCCGATTCGGTTCCAATCTTCCCTCGGTGCGATTCGACCCGACGCCTGCATGGCGCTGTTGTGCGTCCTGACGCGGCGGATCCAAGTAGACTCCGACTCCGTGCCGATGCGGGCCGCTTCGATTTACATTCCGATTCGATGCGTTTTCTCGCTTCGATGTTGGCTGATCTTTCCTACGACTGCTTCTCTCCGCTCCGCCTCCGGTCCCATCATCGTCGACGGCGCTCGTTCGATGTTGCACTGTAGGCAATTTGGCCTGAAGAGCCCCTAGGGGGCGAAACGGGTGTAGGGAGACAGTTAGGGGCTGCCTTTTTTTGTTTCTTTGTAGCACGGGCCCTTGTGTCACAATTTGAGTTGGCAGGATTTGGAGCCCATATCTCGTACGATATGACCTCTTCAGCCGGCACCTCCTCCTCGATCTCGGCCCTCGGGGGAAGCCCTTGGGCCCGGGGGCCAACAAACACCATGGATCTGGGACGAAACCTACTCCGAGGGAAGCGATCCGGACCTCTGGGCCCGCGGATTGGAAAAGTATTATCCGCTGATGTCTGGGATGAGAGGTGCAACCCCGGCCATCTCCAGAGGCACAGCCGCGAAATGTAACGCCACAGGAGCTCCCCGACGAGACGTGCATGGCGTTTGCGCAGTTCGCAGACGCGACTTCCACACTGGAAAGCTTATCATTCAGGTTTCCCTCCACGTTATGTCGTATTTGCTGTCTTGCTTGGGGTGATTTCCATGCCGCGTCGAATAGTTCAAGACATATATGGTCCTCAGCAGTTGGGGGAACACTTCTGCAGACAGCGCCACTGGACAGCGTTGCTTTGCCATTGCCATCTATTGCGTGGCCGACTCTTTATGTTTTCCTTCTTTATTGATTGCCAGCAGCGTGTGACATTGGCAATGCGATCCCCTGAGGAGTTGGGAGAACCTGGCATGGCCTTCTTTCCCCCCTCCCCCGCCCTAACGACTGGGCACTGCAGCAGGAGCAGGAGCAGGAGCAGGAGCAGACGTAGAACAACTGGATGTCGCGTGTACCGACACCATGGCATCTCCCGCACAGTTTCTCGTCCGCGACACGGACACTAAATGCGAATCGCATTTTTCCAGGGAAGACGTTGTGAAGAGCGTGCCGTTATCGTTTCCGCAGATCCCACGTCCAGCGTGCCTCTCCTTGGATGTTTTGGTTGTACTGTCTTACTCTCTCGCTTTCTCCCTCTCTTTCTTTCTCTCTCTCTCTCTCTCTTTCTTTCTCTCTTTCTTTCTCTGTCCCTGCCTTCTTACGTCACGTTTGTATGTTGTTGGTCTCTTTCTCTCCCTCTCTGTCTCTGTCTCTCTCGCTCTCTCTCCCTTCCATTTTCTTTCTGCGTCTCACCACATCTATAGTACGGGCGCTGGCGAACGATTTCCACTGCTTGGGATGCTCGGGTCGTCGTTTTGGGGGAACGCGCGCGTTCTGGCCAGGATAGGGGTCCAGAGGGGCCCAACACACTAGTGTTCCCTACGCCTCCCTACACCCCATGTCGAGACCCGTGGGCATAATAACACGTCTTCGCTATGAGCCTTGGGGGGGTAGGGGGGCAAGTCCTTGTCATCGTCATTGTGACCATCGCCGCGATGGCGTTCATCCTGATGTCCATCCTACTTACGAGTATCAGCATGAGAGTCGTGGCCATTTTCGTCACCAGCACCATCTCAGGCACCATCGCATCGGTAATCGATAATCAGCCTGGCCACCGTTTCGCACCTAATAACCCTGGTCATCATCATTATGGTAAACGTTGCCCTCAGCCACGCCCGTACAGTCAAACTTATGATCTTGCATGCGGATTGCGATTGTCCATATTGGGCCCGCGGAACACGCCACCACCCATAACGCTGAATTCAACACACTCAGCCGCCAAATGCGCGCAATGTCTCTTCTGTCTGACGCGATTGGCATCCTAGAACTTTGAGAACATATCTAGTTTGCAATTCTTCTGATTAGATTTATGTATGTATATGCTTTGCAATTCTCGACTGTCTCGTTATTCTGACATCTTTCTATCCGTACGGGCTTCCTGCCGTCGGCCCCCTCTCTATCAGCATGGGATATGTCAGAGTCGCGTCGGTGCGTCTCTGCGCTGCCTTGGCGCATCTCGGAACACCATGGGGGGGCAGATAGGAATCATCATCGCATAATGAGACTTGGGCGTTCTCGAAGACGCCTACGGCGAATCACCGTTGCCCCCTGCCTTTTTGGAAGCGCCTATGTGGCCGAACGTTGAGGACAGACCTGCCAAGCTATCGGACCATGTGTTCGCCGAATCGGTTTGGAAAGCCTTCGGTGAACACGTGGGCATCTTGAAGGTCATCTTGGCCGCCTGGAGGCCATTTTGACCCTTTCGGGCCTTCTTGGAGGACGCCTTGGACGGCTCTTGGGCAGTCTTGGAGGACATCTTGAGCGTCTTGGAGGCCTCTTGGGCCGTCTTGGGGGCCTCTTGGGGCCGTCTTGGGCCTCTTGGGCGATCTTTGGGGGCACTTGGGCCGACTCGGGCCGTCGGAAGGCCGACAGAAAGCAAATGCCACAGTCCTTCAAAAACTCATGATTTTGGCCTTTTCGGGCCTTCCTGGAGGCCCTCTTGGAGGCATCTTGGGCCGTCTTGGGCCATCTTAGTGCCATCTTCGGCCGTCTTGGTGGGCCCCTGGCCCGTCCGACGCCGTTGGAAGCCTTCTGCGGGGCATCTCTGAGCCGATCTGGGGCCCTCTTGTAATGCTCCAGGGCAGTCTTGGAGGCCATCTTGGGCGTCTTCAAAGCCTCTTGGGCCATCTTGGGGGCCTCTTAGCGCCGTCTTGGGGGCCTCTTGGGCCGTCCTGGGGCCATCTTGGAGGCCTCTTGGGCGATCTTTGCGCGATCTTGGGGGGCTCGTGGGCCGTATTGGGCCGTCGGAAGGCCGACAAGAAGCAAATGTCAAGATCCTTCGGCAACGTACGGAAAATCAGTGTTTTTGACCTTTTCTGGCTTTCCTGGACAACCCTCTTGGAGGCCTATTTTGCTGTCTTGGGCCGGCTTCGGGCCAACTACGGCCATATTGGTGGGCCCCTGGCCCGTCTGACGCCGTCGGAAGCTGTTTGGGGGGCCTTTCTGGGCCGACTTGGGGCCCTCTTGGGGTGCTCCAGGGCCGTCTTAGAGGCCATCTTGGGCGTCTTGGGGGCCTCTTGGGTCGTCTTTGTGCCCTCTTGGGGCCGTCTTGGGGGCCTCTTGGGCGCTGTGGGGGCGATCTTGGGGGCCTCTTGGGCCGTCTTGGGTCGCTGGAAAGCCGAGAAGAAGCGAATGCCAGAATCCGCCGAAGCCTTTCAAATCCTTCGAAAATCTTCAAAACCGTTGGCCTCTTCGGGCCCTCCTGGAGGACCTCTTGGAGGCCTCTTGGGCCGGGCCGTCTTGGGCTGTCTTGGACTCTGTTGGGCAGTCTTGGACGCAGTCTTGGACCATCTTGGGCGGACTTGGAGGCCATCGGAGGCCATCTTGGAGGTCATCTTGAGCAGTCTTGAAGGATTTTTTGTGGACGCTGAGGTGGTTTACGCGGCCTTCCAGGACCCCGACGGGATGGGCCTAAGCCCCAGGGGGAGTTCGTTTGGAAAAATATCCAAAACCAAACCGTAAGAAGTCCAGCACCCCAGGCACCCCTGCGATGGATCGACAGGGGGCGGCGGATCGAAGCCGCCTACGGCGAATCACCGCCGCCCCCTGCCCTTGTGGAAGCGACTATGTGGCCCAACGTTGAGGCCAGACCTGCCGAGCTATCGGCCATGTGATCCCCGAATCGGTTTGGAAAGCCTTCGGGGAACACGTGGGCATCTTGAAGGTCATCTTGGCCGTCTGGAGACCATTTTGACCCTTTCGGGCCTTCTTGGGGGACGCCTTGGACGGCTCTTGGGCCGTCTTGGAGGCCACCTTGAGCGTCTTGGAGGCCTCTTGGGCCGCCTTGGGGGCATCTTGGGGCCGTCTTGGGGTCCTCTTGGGTGATCTTTGGGGGCACTTGGGCCGTCTCGGGCCGTCGGAAGGCCGACAGAAAGCAAATGCCACAGTCCTTCAAAAACTCATTGGAAACCAATGATTTTGGCCTCTTCAGGCCTTCCTGGATGCCCTCTTGCAGGCCTCTTGGGCCGTCTATGGCCGTCGTGGAGGCTTATTGGGTGGGTTCGGGGACACCTTGAACCCTCTTGGGCCGTCTTGGCGGCCATCTTGGACCCTCGTGGGCCGTCTTGGAGGCCATCTTGGACCATCTTGGCCGAACTTGGAGGCCTCTTGGGGCCGTCTTGGAGGCTTCTTGGGCCGTCATGAGGTCATCTTGAAGGCTTTTGGAGCCATCTTGGCGCGATTGTGGAGGCCTCTTGAACCGTCTTGGGCCGTCGGAATGCCGAAAATCAGCAAATTCCCGAATCCTTCAAAAACCTAAGGAAAACCATGGATTTTGGCCTCTTCGAGCCCTCCTGGACGACGTCTCAGGGGCGTCTTGAGGGCCTCTTGGGTCGTCTTGGCCCATCTTGGAGGCTTCTTGGGCGGACTCGGAGTTACCTTTGGCCGTCTTGATGGCGTCTTCGGCGGACTTGGAGGCAACTTGGACTATCTTGGGCCATGTGGAGGCCATCTTGGGCCAACGTGACCATCTTGGAGGCCATCTTGAGGCGTCTTGGAGGATTTTTTGTGGACGCTGAGGTCGTTTGCCGGCTTTCCGCAGGGCCGGCGGGACGGGCCGAAGCGCCAGGGGGAGTTGTTTGGAACACGAACCAAAACCAAAACCGAAAGGGTCCAGCACGCCAGGCACCCCTGCGATGAATCGACAGGGGGCGGCGGACCTGGAGGACCTCTTGGAGGCCTCTTGGGCCGTCTTCGAGGCCTCTTCAGGGCCTCTTCTTGGGCCGTCTTGGGCCAGCTTGAGGCCATCTGAGGCCGTCTTGGGTGCAGATTGGGCCGTCTTAGAAGCATGTTGGGGCCATCGTAGCCGTCTTGGAGGCCATCTTGGCCGGCTTCTAGACATCTTGGAGGCTATCTTGGGTAATCTTGGCCGTCTTCGAGGCCATCGAGGGCGTCTTGGAGGCCTCTCGGGCCGTCTTGGGGCTCTCTTGGGGCGGGCCTCTTGGGCCGTCATGGGGCCAATTTGGAGGCCTCTTGGGTGATCTCGGGGCGACCTTGGCCTCTTGGGCCGTCTTGGGCCGTCGGAAGGCCGAAAATGCGCAAATGCCAACATCTTTCAAACACCAACGGAAAATCAATGATTTTGGCCTATTCAGGCGTTCCTGGAGGACCTCTTGGAGGCCTCTTTGGTTCGTCTTAGAAGCCTATTGTGGGCTTCTTGGGCCCATCTAAGGCCGTCTTGGGTGCATCTTGGGCCGTTTTGTATGCATTTTGGGGCCATCTTAGCCCTCTTGGAGGCCATATTGGCCGTCTTGGAGGCATCTTGGAGGCCATCTTGGGCCATCTTGGCCGTCTTGGAGGCCAGCTTGGGCGTCTTCGAGGCCTCTTGTGCCGTCTTGGGGCGCTCTTGGGGCCGTCTTCTGCCCCCTGCCGATTCATCGCAGGAGTGCCTGGCGTGCTGGATCCTCTCGGTTTTGTTTTTGGTTCTTTTCCTACAGGACTCCCCCTGGGGTTTCGGCCCGTCCCGCCAAGGCTCCCCCCAAAACCCATAAAACACCCAAGTCATCGCC